TCTTGACATTTGTTAGAGGTTGCTTGTAGGTGTTGCAAGAAAATTCATGAGAAGCCAAAGTCCGATTTAGGTATTGTTCCCCCTCCCCTTTAAATTCCTCTCAAGGGAAGTTGTTCAGAAATTGCCAATTTGTGTTTCATCATCCCTATTCCCCAAGCCCCCTCCCACGCCAAATGATAAGCACAATAACAATACAGACCAGCTCTCACAATACCTAAAACGCATTGCTCTGTAAGAGGTGAATACAATAGAAGCCTTATACAATACTTACACAATATATAAATACAGCGTGGAAAAATACCTTTTTGAGACTATTTAGCATAAACTGGTTCATAGTGGGGTGGAAAAATTGTTTCAGAGTCCAAAAGCAGGCCAGCTGCATAATTCGCAGCAACCAGTATGACATAAAAATGTGGGTCACAATTTTAGACAATTAATTTTAGACAATTAGACTGTTGAGATAGTAAAAGAAGAAAAATTACAATAAACCTCCCTTGTGAAGTTGATGTGAGTTTTAATGAAAAGCACTTTGCCTAATAGGGGCACTTTCTAATTGTGGTAACACGGGATGAGCCTGAGGTGGTACAAACTATGAACGAGTCCCATCCCTGACCCTTCTCTTCCTTCTTTAGTCTTGAGTTGTAATATATTTTCTAGAGCAGTTGTTTTCTAAGCATTCTGCTGGGCCAGAATGTCTCATATTCCCTTTCAGTTATCTATCATTGGAGTGAACTTCATGAAATTGCCCATCTCATTATGTGTGACTTACAAAATGGAAATTGAATATTGTTCAACCTAAGACACATTCTCCAGTGTGATCTTTGGTTCTGGGGAGCCATACCTGGCAGTTTTCAGGGTTTACTTCTAGCTCTGTGCTCAGAAATACTCCTGGAAACGCTCAGGGGTCACTTTTACTTGGGACAACATGGTATGTGGGGGATCGAATCTAGGTCAGGTAAGTGGAAGGCAAGTACTCTAGCCTATGTACTATCTCTCCAGCCCTAAAATTCCAGTTATTTTTTTAGTGTGTGTGGTGGGGGTGGGCATGCAGGAATTATACTCAGGGGTTACTCCTGGCTCTTCACTCAGTAATTACTCCTGGTGGTGCTTGGGGGACCATGTGGGATGCCAGGAAGGGAACCTAGGTCAGCTGCATGCAAGGCAAGTGTCCTCCCTGTTTTGCTCTCTCTCTGTTCCTTTGAGAACAAAATAAGAGCCAGAGAGACCACCTGGCCAGGGCTTGGAGTGGGCTTTAACAGGTATGTAGGTGATTGTGGAGGAAGACTGGGGGTGGGAGGTATAGGGTAAAGTCTCTGACATCCCCAGTTATCAGACCCCCTAGCTCCCAATCCTAAATGGGCACAGAGAGGAGCAGGGCTTGTAAGCTTGTAAGCTTGTTTTTTTTTCTTTACTCTGCTCACCTCAATACCCTTACCCCACAATGTACATATAAATTTTGAAGTTCTCTGTATTCTATTGCATAGAGCACACTTTCTCCATGCTACTTAAGATCTCCTTAGGATATTTACAAATATTTTGGGGCACTACTGTGGTGGTGCACTCCAGCGGGCTCAGTAACGTCTCCATTGGAGACTTAGGGCTGGAGCGATAGCACAGCGGTAGGGCGTTCGCCTTACAAGCGGCCAACATGGCCGACCCGAGTTCGATTCCTCCGCCCCTCTCAGAGAGCCCGGCAAGCTACCGAGAGTATTCGATATGCCAAACACAGTAACAACAAAGTCTCCAATGGAGACGTTACTGGGCCCGCTCGAGCAAATCGACGATCAACAGGAGGGCCTTTACCTTACCTTTACCTTACTGTGGTGGTGCAGAGGTGTGAAACATGTGTTGATCTAATGGAACAATACTGGTAGGCAGAAAGCACAAATCACAATAATAAAACAAAAAATGTGCCTGTCATGGCAGACTGAGTGTTTTGAGAATTGGCAGAGATCCTGGTGGTGAGGTTGATACATGAACATTGTATGCCTGAAGAACATTCATTGTGAATCATGATACCTAAATACTCAACCTATAACTGGTTCTTTAAAGATGTCTAATTCTGACTGAACATGTATTGCTGCTCAGTTCCTCTTTTGCAAACCACAGCACCCAAAAGGAAAGAGAGAACAAAAGGGAATGCCCTGCCACAGAGGCAGGGTGGGATTGGGGGAATGGGGGGTGGGAGGGATACTGGGATCAGTGGTGGTGGAGAATGGGCACTGGTGGAGGGATAGGTACTGGATCATTGTATAACTGAAACCCAAGCACAAAAATTTGTAAGTCTATAACTGTACCTCGTGGTGTTTCACTAATAAAAATTAAAAAAAATAAAGACATCTAATTCTTAATAATACTTTCAAAACAAAAGAAGTTCAAGAATGTCAAACTCAGGCTTTGAATTTAGGTGTGTTCATTTCATTCTGCACAATAATCTTTAGCAAAATATTTATGTTTATGCTAAAAATAAAACAAAGATAAGCCTTTAGGAGTCATCGAGGTAATGCAGATATTCAAGTGCTTGCCTTGCATGCTGCTGACCCCCTTTAACATGGGCACCACATGGCCTCCTGAGCAGGAAGTAGCCTAGGGGCACCTTCAGGTATGACCCCAAACATGCCCTCCAAGAAATAAAAAATTAGAAAGCCCTTTATATAGATTCTGTTGCAAGTATGTCTCCCTTTTACTATGATTAATTCTACAAACTAAAAACAAGTTTGTACATCAGTTTCTCAATTAAATATCACTGACAATATTCCATATTATCTCCATACTTCCCAACCTTTACTCTTAGGCAGATGTTGAGGGGTGTGTGTGTGTGTGTGTGTGTGTGTGTGTGTGTGTGTGTGTAAGCCTGCACAAGTATCGTAACACACTGTGGAAGTACATCACATTGCATTCCAACTCCTTTTTTATCTTAGTGTGAAAACTCTTCCGGGGAAGAAAACACACATCATGCTTAATTTCAATGCCTCTTCCCAGAGCTTAGCACTCTGTAGACAATAAAAATGTGGTATTATCATGGAAGTCCCAGTTTCTGCCAGTGACCAAGTAGCCTCAGCAAATTAAATGTTGCTAATTTGAAATAATGAAAGTAAATAATGTTTCTTCTTTGAACTAGAAGTAAAATAATTACCTTTTTGAATAGTAAAGAAGTCCTGGATTAAAATTTAAAAAATTCAAAGTGCTTCAAAACAATGATAAAGAGTATAGAGTTAATAAAGTAATGATCTAAAAATGATTAACCTAAAAAAAGCCAAAATATTTGTTCCTATATTCTTAGTTTTTCACAATGTCAAATAAAGTTGTAAATCTGGGCCAGAGTAGACAAGGGCCTACCTTACACAGCCAAGCCTGGTCCCCTCTGTGACACTACCTGTGGCCTGAGCCGGCCAGGGGTGGTCCCTCTGCATAGAGCACTCTAGGCCACTGGGTGTGGCCCCCAAACAAACAAAAACCAATTTTCTTTCAGTTCAGCAATGTAGTTCCTAATTTAATAAGAGAAAATTTATATTTAACACCAGAATATTAATAGACTTGGGAGGGAATAGGTTTAAAAATTGTGTGAGGCAAGGTGAGAGCCACTTGCTTGAATTATTAAAAAGAAAATGAGTGATTTTAAATATATGTTTTGGAGGGGCTTTGGCAGTAGAGCTGGGGCCCAGAGCCACTGGCTGCAGTGCTACTCAGCTTGGCTGCAGGCCTGATGGTGTGTAAGTGGTGCTGGGAGCACCAGAGTCATTCCCAATTGCAGGGCTGTGGGGAACCACTCAGTGTTGATGTTTCAAGCATGCAAGGCATGTGCTCCAGCTCCTCAGCTAATCTAGCACCCCCAGTGACACTTTTTAATAAATTATTATGTAACTATTGGCATTCTTGGCACCGAAATGGATGAAATAAATACATCATTATAATCTATTTTAAGGTACTCATAATAATGTTTATGTAATAACGAGACACCAAAATAAGGAAATGAAAAAGATACTTTTAAAGTAGCCTCTTTATATAAATATACAATTTGATAACTATTGCAGTGTTGTAATGATTTAATTAGGCATTCTGACAAAAATCCTGCTAAGTAAATATTCCTCTCAGAGTTTTTCAGAGAGGAAAAATTACTTGTAAGAAGGTATCAATAAAATCATTTACTATGAACTGCTATATGGATCATACCCAGCTATGATTTGTTACCCTGTTACTGATTACTTGTTGAATCAGGGCATTTGGTCCATTCAGCAAATTGTGAAATATTCAATAAAACTACTGATATTTGCACGTTTAAGTGTTGTTCTTAAGAAGAAAAACCAAGAAAACCAAGTGTGATCTAAGAGTGCAAGAAAAATAAAAGCTGGTTGATTTCACTTATTTAAATCTTATTTCTTGTAAGAAATGTTTGCTTTGGAATTTATAGAATTCTTTAGAATTTATAGATCTTTGTTTTGGCTTTGTTTTCTAAGCAAGTATAAATAAAATGAAACAAAATAAAAAAAGATACTGTGGCAAAACAGGTGAAACAGTTTCTTGGCCAGTTGCAAAATGCTTTTTTTCCTGCAAGTTATCCTTGCTAGCAAGGGTATTGATGACTAACAACTTACAATCTCATCTAGCTACAAGATACTTATTCTCCTAATTGTTCACAACATTAAAAAGTATTTTTAGAATTCTCTTAAATCATAGGAGCTTTTAATTTTAAAAAAATCTTTAGGATGTATGAAGATATTAGAAGCTGAGAATGAATAATGTAATGGAAGAGGTGAAGATACTTTACTGATATCTAATTTACGGAGATTTCAAGGCACAACAAAGAAATCTGGGTGATGCATTCTAGGTGGTAGGAATAAAAAAAACCCTTTATAACACTGATGTTATATCACTGTTATAAAAGCTTTATGCAGCAGCTTTTCTAGCCGTACTGTGCTTCGAAGCGTACATATGAATGGAACGCCGCCTTTCCTTTCGATGCAGAGAGACAAACAGGGGTTTTGAACTGGAGGCTGGAGACCCCTCCTTAGGGGAAGAGATGCCGGAGTTTGGCATTGAGCTCTCGCTCCTTGCTCAGGAGATCCAGGCTGTGCTTGCGGAAGGCTTCGGACTGCAGCCTGAGCTCGTCATACGCCTGCTGCAGCATCTCCACCTTGCGCTGCAGCTCCTGCACCCGCAGGCTGCCGTCCACCGCGGCGGCCTCGAGCTCGAAGCGCTCCAGCGCCCGCCTCCGGGCCGCGTCGGCCGCCTGCAGCTCGTCCTGCAGCTGGCGGGTCTCGGCCTGCTGGCTCTGCAGAGCCTGGCCCCTCTCGGTGCACAGCGCCAGCAGCTCCTCCTTCTCGCGCGCGGCGCTCTGCAGCCTGTCCTGCAGCTGCTGGCTCAGGCTGCGCTGGGCCTGCTGCGCCTCGGCCATCTGCTCCACGGCCTGCTGGTGCTGCAGCTGGAGGCTCTGCAGCTGGCCGCGGAGCTGCTCGGCGTCGCGGTGGTTCAGGGCCCGGAGCTCCTGCTCGCGGCTGTGCGCGGCGCGCGCCTCCTGCACGCGCTCCTCCTGCAGCTCCCGCAACTCGCGGCCCAGGGCCTCGCTGTGCGCCGTGAGCTGCGCCACCCGGGCCTCCTGCTCCCGCAGGGCCGGGCTGAAGAGCGTCTCGTTCTCCAGCCTCAGCTTCTCGTTCTCCTCCCGCAGCTGGGCGTTCTGGCTCTTGTGCTCGTCCTTGAAGCGGAGCATCGCCTCGTGGTTGCGCGCCAGGGCGCGGAAGCGCTCCTCCAGCCTCCGGGCGTGCTGGCCCTGGCTCCGCAGGCGCTCGGCGTCCCGCGCGCGCTGCTCCTCCAGCTCGGCGTTGAGCAGCTCCAGCGCCCGGCAGCGCTCCAGGGCCTCGTCCGCCCGCCGCTTCAGGATGCAGATGAGCTGCGACTGCTCGTGGATGCGCGAGCACAGCAGGGCCTTCTCGCCCTTCTCCTCCTCGCTCAGGCCGCGGAGGTTGGCCAGGGCCTCCTTCAAGCCGTGCAGCGCCTGCTCTTCCCGCACCTCGGGCCCCGGCTCCGGCTCCGGCGCGTCCTCCGGCTTCTCCGGGGCCTCTTCAGCCGCAGGGGTGTCCATCCCGAGTGCCCGGGGCGCAGGCGGGCTCCTCCGCCGCCAGCCGGCCTCACAGGCTTCCCACCGCGATCAAGAGCCTCCGAGCGTTGCTAGGGTCCCCTGGCACTCTGCAGCAGTTGGTGACCGGCCGGTGCCAACAAGCGGCCCGGTGATTAGCCGGCCACCTGGAGCGTGCCGTGAGGTAGCGGGCCGGGATTGGGCGGGGCCAGAGCCAACCACAGCCCCGCTCGGTGCCCGGTGCCCGCAGCACCCACGGAGGAAGGTGCCAAGCTCTCCCGGAAGGCGCCGAGGGCACTAATAAATGTCTGGCACAAGTAGAATGACCAAGGCTCGGAGTGACACACCCCCTCCCTACTTTGTCCTCCTCAGCTGCCACGAAAAGGAATTCATCACCAAGGAAACATCTTTGGCTTTTGACACGATCACAATTGAGAAATAGGAGGAAGAGCGGTACTTGTAGAACCGGAACCCATGACAATCGAGTTTGTACCTGTGAATTTGACAGCTCAGTAAAAGAACAAATCTCAATATTTTTTTCTTTCCTTTACCATTATTCTTGGATGAACATGCATTTATTAAACATTCAGCACTTCTTGGTTTTGCCCATGAGAAAGGTTGCAGAAAAAAATGTTATGAACAGTTAGGTTACTATTACAACAGGGAAAATATGACTCCTATGCCAAAAGTCAATTCCAGATGAAGGCAAGAGATTTACAGAGTAAAACAAAAGTACTAAACATGGAGACTGGGAGAAAGTACTGTGGTTAGAGCACATACACCTGACAGATTTGATTCTAGATACCACCTGGACCCCGAGCATCACCTGGCACAGACTTGGAACCTCTTCACCACCACCCCCTTCCCCCTCGCCCCACACCTCTGCAGTGGGCTGGGTATGCTGGGCACCACAGGGCCAGAACAGCACTGAAATGTCAGGCCCTTGCAATGAATCACTTGCAGGGCTGGCTCTTAAACACCCTGAGTACTGCTTGGGAGGGCTCCCAATAAATACATATACACATAAGATAAAGATAAAATAAAATAGAAATAAGAAGAGGTAAATGTAAATAAGAAGAGGTAAATGTAAATTTCAACTCTCTGTGCCAGAAAGGACCTAGCTTGAATATTAGGATAGAACCTCTACCTCCACTATCCAGCTGCCGCCGTGCTCCAGGCCACTTTCTGGATGCTTGGGCCAAGCCTCACGCTTGAGAGAAGACCCATAGAACCAGTAAGTGGAACTTTGTGACCTTGGACTCCAGGATCAATGGGACCCGGAAACAGAGATCCTCTGCCTGCTTCCACCAAACTCTGGTGATCCACCGATCACATCCAGAAGCCCCATCCTGCCAGTGCCAGATAAATACCTCATCGGCCAACCTCCACTATCCAGCTGCCACCACACTCCAGGCCACTTTTCGGATCCCAAGGCCACTTAATACCCATCTTCCAAGATTACCACACCATATTTGATGGGATTCAAATATGATGTGGACCATGGGAACATCTATAAGGGTGATTAGAGGCCGCCCTAAAAGCTTCCATCCCTTTCGGAGAGCCCGGCAAGCTACTGAGAATATCCTGCCCACACGGCAGAGCCTGGCAAGCTACCTGTGGTGTATTCGATATGCCAAAAACAGTAAAAACAATAAGCCTCATTCCCCTGACCTTGAAAGAGCCCCCCAATACGGCAGCGTTAAGAAGGATGAGCAAGGAAAGGCTGATAAAATCTCAGGACTGAACTAGGCTGCCAAAATGAAGGACTAAAATGACTCTCTGTACTTTCAACGCACGTATGCTGGCATTGGAAGCATCCATCAAGGGCCTGATAGTGCAAGTGCAGAAGATCAAGTACAACATCATTGGTCTGACCGAGACAAGAAGACATCAACCACATCACGCCACTTTTGACACTAGAGAAGAACTGCTCCTTGGAGCATGCTACAAAAGAGGCATTGGTGGTGTCGGTGTCCTTGTCAATATGAACTTGGCCATGAGCATTGATTCATTTAAATGCCTAACATCCTGAATCGGATGCTTATGCTTGAATAGATGTGGCTCACAGCCGGCAGTTTCTATCTTTGTTGTCTACGCACCCATATCCAAGTATGATGAAGAAGAAATTGAGAAATTCTACAAGAAGCTGGACAGGTTCTATAATGAAGACCACACCCTCTACAAGATCATTGTCAGTGATTTTAATGCCAAGCTAGGACCAAGAAGATCGCCCAAAGAACACCACATCAGGATTCATGGCCTAGAATGGAACGAACAGGGTGAGAGACTGTCTGAGTTCATCATGTCGACCAAAACCATCCATGGTAACTCACAGTTCCAGAAGGCCAAATCTAAACGTTGGACATGGGAGTCTCCCAGTGGACAGTTCCACAAACGAAATTGACCACATCATATTCAATGGATGGTTCTGTCTGATCAATGTTACTGTTGTCCCAAAATTCCAAACAGGATCAGACCACTGTCTCCTTCATGCAAAATTCTACTTCACAGAGCAGGGAGAAAAGGATGCAAAGTTTAAGAAGAGAACTCCCAGAACAACTGGGAGCTCTTTGGCACTATTGCGGCAACATGGGAAGATGCCATCCTTGACGATATTGATGAAGAATATGATTGACTGGTTCAGCACCTCCATGATTGTGCGAGGAATGCCAAGAGAGAGAAAGCCACAAAAAGATGCCTGTCTTCGGAAACTCTCAAGCTCATTCACCAACATGGCTTGGCGTGAGCCTCAGGCAACCACAAGCTAACGTCCGAGCTCAAAAGCAGTGCAGAGAAGCGATCAAGGAAGACCTCAAAGAGAGACGAGCAGCAGTGCTGGCTGATGTGGCAGAAGCCGGGAAAAGCATCTGCAAGTCCACCTGTCCTTCACCAACTACAAGACCGAGATGACTGCCCTCCGATATCCTGATGGATCTATCACATCTTCCAGAAGGGCAATAGAGAAGATTATCCATGACTTCTACTTGGATCTCTTCGAGAGCCACATCTACCTGCCAACATACCAAATTTCGCAGGATGGATATATTGTTCCCAACGTTCTACTTCCAAAATCCGACACGCCATTTCATTGGTAAAGAAACTAACAGCAACCTGCCCAGACAAGGTCAGACCCGAACACCTGAAGAACCTGCCATCAGTGCTCATCAGCACACTGGCTCGGCTCTTCACACGCTGTCTATCTGAATGCAAAGTTCTGTCCCAATGGAAAACCAGCAGGACTGTTCTACTGTACAAGAAGGAAGACATCCATGACATTGGCAACTATCACCCGATCTGCCTGTTGTCTGTTGTCTAGAAGCTGTTCACTTGAATCATCCTGAATAGGATTGGCAGAACACTATATGAAGGACAACCATGTGAGCAAGCCGGGTTCTGAAAAGGATTCAGCATGATTGTCCACATCCACAAGATGACCAAGCTCATTGAGATTTTTCGGGAGTTCAAGATGCCACTGTGTCTAACGTTCATTGATTTAAAGGCCTTTGATTCTGTTGAGACTAAAGCGGTCATCAAAGCCCTAGACAAATAGGGCATTCAAACTCAGTACATCAGGATCCTTCGTGAGCTGTATTATGGATTCACCAAGAAAGTGATTATTGACATAAGAGAGGGGTTCGGCAGGGCAATACTATTTCACCGAAACACTTTAGTACCAACCTAGAGAACATCATGCAACGAATGGAATGAGAAGGAATAGGAGTGAAGATATACAGTCAGCAACTACACCACCTCTGCTTCACTGATGACATTGTTCTAATAGCACCAAACATTAGCCAAGCAGCACAAATGCCAGACAACTTCGACCGTGAGTGTGGAAAGATTGGACTGCAGCTGAATCTCATGAAGACAATGTTTATGAAAAACGGACTCATTCCTGACATTCCATCTGCTCTCAACGGAATGAACATCTCCAAATGCAGCAGTTATGTGTATGTAGGTTGAGAACTCAACATGATAAACGACCTGGCACCTGAGCTACACAGGAGGAAGGGAGCAGTGTGGAACGCCTTCAAGAGCATCAAAGAAATAGCTAAGAGGATGAAGAATCTACAGCTCCAGGTACATCTTTTCAACTCCACCTTTCTCCTTGTACTAACATACGCCTCAGAGACCTGGGCCCTATGAAAACAGGATGAGAATGCTATTTGGGTCAGCCAAAGAGGAATGCTTGGAGTATCACGCTTCACTCAAGTGAGAGAAGGAATCCGGAGTTCCGAGCTCTGTCGATGATGGAGAATCAGAGATGCTGTCTCGTTTGCCAAGGCATTGAAAAATCAGATGGTCTAGATAAATAATGTGATTTGAAGATAACCGCTGGGTTAGAGCTGTTACCCACTGGATTCCAGGTGACGTCATAAGAATATGTGGCCACCCACCTATGAGATGGTCAGACTTCTTTGTCAAGATCCTGAACCAACAGTTTGAGGCTCTTTGTGTTCCTGTAGAGAGCAGATGCCACTGGGCTACACCAGCACCCGACAGGGACAAATGGAGACATTACTGGCACCTGCTCAAGCAAATCGATGAGTAAAGGGATATCAAGTGATCAAGATCAATTTATTGGCTCAATTAACAGAGTAGGATATAGGATATAAAGAAACATAGTGAGGGAAAACAGATGGCCTAAGGCATCAGAACTGGATATTTTGTCTACAGAGCTGAGCAAAGGGTGGTGGCTGGGAGGGGGCCTTGGGCCACACTTCAGTGATGGGTGTGAGGTGGAAATGAGGCGCACGTGAAAGGATAATTAACAGCATGGTAAATCACAATACCTCAATCAACATGGTCAAAAACCCCCAACCGTTAAAAAAATCTAACTTCAAACAGCAGAAGGGTAAGGAAAAAGCTTTATCAATTTGACTTTATCGATCATTTCTACCTAGGTATAATTTTATATTATTTATTTTTGCACCACACCCTGCGATGCACAGAGGTTACTCCTGGCTTTCCACTCACGAATTACTCCTACCGGTGTTTGGGGGACCATATGGGATGCTGGGCATCAAACCCAGGTCGGCCGCATGCAAGGCAAACGACCTACCTGCTATACTATCACTCCAGCCCCAACAAGGTATAATTTAAAAAAGTTACGTGACTTCTGAAATCTCTCCAGATTCTTTTTAATATGAAAAAAAGGTTTTGCTTAATGATTTTTATAGTTTGGTTTATAACACAAAAAATATAAGCCTAAATGTGAAAAAATGAATAAAATGTTGAGAATATTACATTTCCATAAACAAAAAAATGATCTAACTGTTAAACACAATCATGTTTAGATTAATATTTTTTGTCATGTAAAATGCTAATGTTAGAAAAATAACCCAAAGAAAATCGAAGGCTTAAAACTCAGAATGAGAGAGTATGGTGCCACCAGCAGGTCAATCTGTACCTGTGAGGCGAGTGCATCAGCAGCCTGATGGCGCCTTCAGACTTCCAGATACCCCAAAATTGCTGCTGTGCCTTTGGCCAGACCCCAAAAACTTGAGGCAAAGTTTACCAAGAAAGTAAATGGCAAAAAGTTAGGTATGTGGGAGACACACCCAAAAACTACCTCAGGCTCAGCTATGTAATTGGAGGCATGGCCTCTCTGGTTCCTGATTGAACTGCTTCATGGCCATGATCCCAGAGACTCAGAAATAAATCTCGAAACCCAATGGCTTTTGGCAGAAATGCGTCCGGTTCCTGCAGTAGGTTACCGGTGCTGGGCCAAACCAGGTGGGAATAGGTTTTGTGCCTTGGCCTGTTCCCCCTGTCGGCCCGGTGGCCACCATCCTCCAGAGGCCAATGGACAGTCAGGTTTGGGCCCGCAGTGACGAGACATGCAGGGCCTCACGGGATGGGGGCGGAGCCGGTCCTGTCCTCCCCACCCCAATGAGACCCCAAGTCATCGCCCACGAATGGCCTCTCTGGCTCCTGATCAAGCCGCTTAACGGCCATGATCCCAGAGACACAGAAACAAATCTCGAAACCCAGTGGCTTTTGGCAGAAATGTGTCCGGACCACATAGTAGGTTACTGTGGCCGAGCCACCCCAGGGGGGAAAGGGCATTGTCCCTCCGCCTGCTTCTCCTTGGCAGCTCGGTGACCCTCATCCTCCAGAGGCCATTGGACAGTCAGGTTTGGGCCTGCAGTGATGAGACATTTTGGGCCTCACGGGATGGGGGTGGAGCCAGTCTTGTCCTCCCCACCCGAATGAGACCCCAAGTCATTGCCCACGAACGGCCTTTCTGGCTCCTGATCAAGCTGCTTAACAGCCATGATCCCATAGACCCAGGAGCAAATCCCGGAACCCAGCAGGTTTTGGCAGAAATCCCTCCAGATTTAAGTG